CCGTTTCCAACCGTTGCGTCTTGGTCGAAATGATGTTCGTTAAATGATACAAATATTCGTACTATTGGAGAGGAGAAACATCGAGAAGATTAAAGTTTCAATAACTGTAATACTCGTATAAAGTATTTCCTACATGGATGGAAGAAGAGATGTATTCAAAATAGAGCAATTTTTAATGCTGAAGCGTCCATATTATTTCCGAAAATCGAACAGTTTCACGAACAGCAATGTATCCAAAGATTCCAACGTGTAACAATATCTCTTCTATTCGTGTCCATATCATCTACGATTAATCATAGACTGGGTTTCTCAACGAATAAATTCGAATTCGTCCATCTCTTGCAAGTCTTTTTTTGAAAATTTTCAAAGTTTCAAGACAACATTTTACGACCAAAATGATCCAAAATATTTCGATCACCACCAATAATCATATCTCGTTGCAATGTGCACCAGCAGACGTAAGACGAGGCGGACGATAAATGGAGGAACGGATGGAGGAGTGTGAACGATGGATCGAGTGTGTATGAATGTATGAATGTGTTCGTTCGGCTTTTGTAACGTTTAGACGCATCCCTCGAAGAGAAAGATGGAGGCGTCCCGTTCTCTCCCTCCTCCCCTGGGACTACAAATAGCTTGTCAGTTGGATCATAATAGGGACCCGGGGATCGCGAGATAATCTCACGCTGCGGAATATCTAGTCGTTGTGCCAAGTCGGGGACCGGATCCACCTTGTCGCTCGAGAATCGGGGTATCGAAGGGATTATTCGCGTGTTAGACGGTTTGAATTTGTTGCTTGGACTTGGCCGATGCCGAGATACGATTTAGTTTAATGTGGGAATCGTCCTCGATTGCTCCAACGAGAATTTAATCCTTTACGGCCTCTGTGACCGACACACATTTTATCCAATTATTCTCCAATTTCGAATTATCCGGTCGAACAACGGTTTTTTTTTATTTTAATATCACGTTTGTTATATGTTCAGATAAGAATATTAAGTGTTTTTGATTGTAATTTGATTTATTTATTCATATTAAATAATTAGAAATAATCAAAGTGGAATCTTACGATAAAACTTGTTCTTGTCCTTTTCGAGATTGTAGTCTCCATAATTAAACTGCGACCTAAGTTATGCATTAAATGGAAAATTTGAATCTATAAAAATATATATAAAAAAGGAATTATTTACTTGAATTTTTTTTTCGTGATCGAGATCCGAGTCAAAATTCTTTGCCACGAAGGATTGGCGATAAACGATAAATTTCTTTAATCGATAAACGGTTTAAAGGAAAGAAGAAAAAAAGAGAGGAGAAAAAAAATTCATAGATATACAATCTCGGATTGAAATCTCGAGGAGAAAAACCTAGGGGTTACCGAGTATTATCGTGGACAATCGGCGCGAATATTGAACTCCATAGGGGCTACTGTTCACTGGGGAAAGATGAAATCGCGGCAACAAAGCCGAAACCCTATTAAACGGCCACCACAGTTTAAATCACATTAGGATCGAGAACTACTACAGAGCTCGCGACCGATTCAATGATGGGTGTTGTTGTTGCGAGTCGTAATCCGCTTTGAGTCGAATGGCTGTTTTCCAAATAGTGAAACTATCCCAGGCATGTTGTCGAAATCGATATAATAAGAATTTAATCTTTCATAAATCGTTGAAATATATATTCTAACTCTAATTAATCCTAAGATCTGATAAGTTAAAATTTTTTTTTTTTTTTAAGAAAATTATAGAATAAATAATTTGATCGATGAAACGAAATAAAATATCGATCATTAATTTTATGAATGTAATTATATGGTAATATATTAATTGGAAATTCTAATTTGTGTAATGCGTTAGGATTAAAATTTGTGTGATATAAATAGTAGATGTAATATATGAGGAATAAAGGGTGAAATATCGATCTTGACGACGATATAAATTCAAACATAATTACCTTTCTTCAAATATTCAGAGTGGGAGCTATCGTCTATCGTTCTACGATTCACTTTATCGATTCGCAGTTTTCCTACTGAGTTCGTTGATTAAAGAGTAATTGAATTATGAAAGGAATGAAATTTCATTGGAATCGATCTTGTACGCTCGGATTTACTCAAAGGGAAAAATTGCTGTGCGTGTATTTACGTGAAGCAAAAATATGAATGAATAAATCGAGGAATAATCCGATGATACTGTATAAATTTATCAAATAAATGGTTAAAGGAATAAATCAGACATCTGAAATCAATAAAAAAAAAAAAAAAAGAAGAAAAATATTAAAATTAATTGTAAAACAAAATTTCGTTTCGTTAAGTATTATACGAATCAAAAAATAATAAATAAATAAAAATAATAAATAAAAATTGTATCATAATTTTTATCTTTGGATATATTTTTTAAACAATTTTGCAGTTAAAAATACGAAAATATAGAATAATGATCAATGATAAATTCTCTTCCAGGTTAAGTATCCCTCGTTATAATTCACGAAAGAATGGTTGGCCACAATGCTTTTTCACAACAATTCTAATTCAATTCTTGCATCTTCGATTTTTCTACGAATACCAGAAATACATGCTACCAATTATCCTTTGTATTCCCAGCAGTCCAATCTTTCTTCCAAAATCGTTTTCCGACTCACTCTGAACATTTCTCAACATTTCCTTCTCGTGGACAGCGCCCACGAGATCAGCAATACCTTCTTGAAGTACAGTACACTGCTCTGAACGTAATGAGAATTTATAGAATAAAATTTCGTCCGAAGAAGCAACTTCTGATAGTAACGATGGAAAAACAAACTTCAACAGATGACTTAAAGAGTACAATATCGAGAAAAAAATACCAAATAAATCAATGAACGCGAAACCTAATTTCCAAACAGACAAATATTATCTCTCTCGCGCGATTATTAAACAATCTGTCGAAATTATCTGTCGAAAAACTGATCACGTTATTAATTAATATTAACGAGGGAGGGATAATACGCCATTGCATCGGGCATTCGAGCTAAACGAATAAAATTCGAGAAGACGGGTCTCGAGAACCGAAAGGAATACCGAACCAAGTGCATCGAAGCTTAATAACGATCCGAGCCTCGACGATCTTACGAGATAATCTCTCGTGGGATAATCTTACCGTGGGTCTTACCAGAGTGCGGTCGATCGTTGGCATCGGCGAGGCAAAACGAAGCGGAGGTTATGAGGGCCTCTCCACGCTGCAGGAAGTCTAGAGACCTGATTGCCGTCGTGACCGATCCCCTTCGGGCCGGCCAACTTCCTGCTTCGGCCGCTCGAATTCTTTACGATCCTCCTCTTCCTCGCGATTGCGTGATCCTCTTTCTCGTTCCCAGGATGGGTACAGTACGTAGAATCAAAATTTCGTTTATTCTTGATAATATTTTTAATATTAATCTTCGAATATGAAGATATGCGAAGATATGATTTGTACAAATTCTTCGAAAGGACATCTGTGAAAGAAATTTTTCTTTTTCCTTTTGTCAGATAGATCCGATAAAAATTGGATGAGAAAAATCGTATTCTTTAAAATTCTTCGTATTCAAGCTTTCTCTTCTTTGAGGGTATCTTGTGATTCCAATCATCGGACAATTAGAATAAAATTCGAGGAAATTTCTTTAATGAACGTTCGCGAGTTATTTAAGCCCTTTAACGAAGGGGATGATTATGGAGGCTCGAGAAACAGTTTGATTTAACCAACGAGGGAAACAAGTGTAATTGGTAGTCGCGGCTCGAACAAGAGTTCAATTTTTGCACCTTTTGATTCTTCTACTCGTTACGAGCCATTTATTCGTCGTTAACATGATTGCCTTTAAATGAAAAGTTGATGGATCTAGCATCGCTCGGTCATATTCAATTTTTTCGAAAACGAACTTTACGATCGTTTCGCGATCGAAAACAATTCAATCTCGAATCGTTATATCTTTCACTCGATCTCTGATCATTTCTTTCAATTTTGACAATCCTTACCACCTTTTTATACTTTATAGAAAACAGACAGAGTACATATTTTAAGTCTCTCTCTCTTAAGAGATAAATATTAATTGATCATTTTTCAGATCGTTGGTAACACTTCAATCTTCACAAATATCTTCATAAATGAACGGGTAAAAGATTGAAAAAATGCTTCATCAGACAAAGCTACATTAATTTTTCCATTTCTTTTTTTTTTTTTTTTAATCACAAATCTCACCAATTACAGCGATCATGACTGAGAAAATTTTTCCTCTCACGATAAATTGCAATTTGTCTTCGGCGAAGGGCACACGTGATCATTGCCCAAGAAAGAGAACACTTCCTCTTTCACGTCTTTTCCCAAAAGACACACCGATCACTCGTCGATTACGTTAGCTCAGTAATAACGTCACAAAGCGGCGAATTCGAAATTCGATTATCATATCTCGATCGTGGATCGACTCGCGGCCTTCACACGGGTTGCTCTCTCTCCTCCGCGACGACGTATCGTGCGAGAATCTAAATCGAAAATCGGCACGCCCCCGCGACAAATGTCCGACGAAGATCGGGGACGTGAGCCGCCTAATTTATAGCCACGAATTTTTCTTCCTCGGTAGGCGGAGCTGTCGTTCAAATTGCCCGCCATTTGTCTTTCCAAGCGTCAGAATTCCCCTATACCCCCAAATCGAGAGAATCCCCTCGTAATCGATTTCGCCTCGATTTCGTGCGGGATATATGATTATGGTTCCGTGTTAAGTGTTTTCGAAATTCTAGATTTTTTTTTTATTGATTTCGATTATTCATGCGTCGTTCACGTGTTTTACCGAATGTTTATAACTCTGTCGGGAGAGTTTGATTTAAAAAATTTCTTTTCTTTTCTTTTTTTATTTTCTTTTTTTAAGATAACAGTGCTTAAAATGTTTTTGAAAATTGCGTAAAATGTGAAAAGATATTCGAAATATATAGATACTTATAGAATTTTTATTGTAATTAAATATCAATTTCAAATTACTGTTAGATTATAACAAATAAAAGAGAAAAAAACCAACAACACACGGTGTTTCCCAAGCGGTCACCCATCCAAGTACTAACCGTGCCCAACGTAGCTTGACTTTGGTGATCGAACGAGAACCAGTAGATCCTACGTGGTATGGTCGTTGGTTGAAAATGATTGTTCTATTATCGATATACTAGATACAAAAATAATTCAAAAAATATAAATGTAAATCAAATTGTTGTTGCAATTTCTTTATATTTTTATTAATGATCCCGATTCCTGTGACGGTTAATCAATCCACTATCATAAATCCATATCCACTTGAATAAAAAAAAAAGGCTTGAATTTCAAAGCAAAAACCTATTATTGCCAGCAAATGCTACTTCTCAGAATTCTCTGTCGTCAGATAATCGTGATCTATTCGTTCTCATTTCTAAGCCGACTCACAAACGTTATATTCCCTACATCCGCGTGTCGGTATTTACATAAATCATGACGTCGTTGCAGTTTTCCACTGTTGGAAATACGCGTTGATCCCTTTTACGGTAAGTACCGCTATATTTCCTCGGTGAAACGTCACGGAAGTTGAACGTATAGAAAGAATATTTTTCGACCCATCACGAAAATGCTTAACCAAGGATTTTTCCACCCTTTGTTTTTCCCTCGCTATTTTTTCCTCTTTTTTTTTTCCATGCTTCCAATTCCAATGGACGATGATGAGGTCAATTGTGTCTTCGAGTAATCTATAGGAATAATCTGTTAGAAATTTTTTTCGATCGAATATCGAAATAGAATTTAAAGTTTTTTTTCTTTTTTTTTTTATCGGAAAGTAAAATTTTCATTTTAAGAAAATTTGTTCGAGTTCGCGATTACTTTCTGAGAAAATAAAAATTTTAATATAGAAGATAGAAAGTGTGAAATAAAAAAAAAAGGTTTTTTTCTTTTTTTCCTCTCTTTCTCTCTCTTTCTGTTCAATTCCAGTTTCCAGCAATACAGGATCGAGTAACGAAAGTAAAAATTTTAATATAACAGGTTTTCGAAATTAGAAAAATTATTTAATTCAACTTTTTATATTTATATTCTTAATAAAGTTTACAAAATACCTCCATCTTTTTCTTTATATCCATTTTTGTTTTAGGTACATAATCGAACAATTTCAATTCTTCTTTTCTCCACATCCTTTCATCTTCGATCTTATTAACTATTCAATTTCAAAGAATTTTACTTGCAAAATTGCAAAATTAGCAAAGATATTCGCATCTTTAAATTGCCTTGTTTCCTCCTCGATAGGACAATTTTCCAACCCCTTTCCCCTTTCCCTCTCGTTGGATCCCGTTGTCTCTATGTTCACAGCTTAATTACGCGAGCGGATAGAAAAATGCTCGAGTCTAAAACTGAAACGAGTGTTTTGCGTCGGTTTTTCGATCCTCTGAACGTTATCGTACAAGTGGTCTCGAATGGAAGCTTTAAAAAAAAAAAAAAAAAAAAAAAAATACGAGAACACATTTGTCCGGATTAAAATCTGGCTCGTTAATTCGTTCAATCCCTCCTTTCTCTTTTTTCCTTTTTTTTTAAATTTAATTTTTGCATTTAATTTGAATCGGTAAAAATTGTTGACATAATTTCATTCGAAGAATAAATTACGGCGCTTTCGATTCGCTCGTTTAAAGCTTTACATCAGTCCAGCGATTCGTTCGAAACGATTAAAAGGACGAGAAGGCAGCTTTGATATCTCGGCAGAGCGTGGAGGATGAGTTTCAATCGTCCTAGATTTTTAATTAACAAGGCCTCTCTCTCATCCTTGTCTCTCTTTGCGCGCCATTTCCGGCCAGAATCCTTTCTCTCCTCAACCGGAACTAACCCCGTAGTAACAGTTCCCTCCCTTTTCCATTCATAAAGCATTTTCAAGAAACAAATTTCATCCAATCGAGGGGATGGAAAAACCATGGGAAAAAATCAATATCGCATCATATTTTCCATGATACTGATTCACGAGATAATATACATCGAATGACGAATATATAATCGAAAATAAAATCTTCAAACTTCAAATTTCCCGATTCTACAACAAAAAACCATAAAGTTTTCTGAAAAACAGAGCCAAAAAACTTTACCTCGAATCCAATACAATTTTCACACTTTTCAAAAGAATCTGCCCCTCCTCCTTCACTCCTCCAACAAACCCCTTCCAAAATACCCCTCCTCCCCTTATATACAACTCACGATCGAGTATAACCCGTGTCGTTCACGAGAGCATCGGCGGTCGAATCGAGTCGAGGAATTCCCGGCGTCGATAAAGGAACAAAACCACGTAGTGAGTAATACTCTCCCTCTCAGAAGAAGAAGAAGAAGAAGAGGAAGAAGAAGAAGAAGAAGAAGAAGAAGAGTAGAGGAGAAGTTGGCGAGTACCCACGTCGTCGAGCAAAGTCTGACGCTCCTGCTGAGTGACTGACAACGTGTTCCTTCTTTCCTGTCCTTTCTTTCGTCGTTTCTTTCTCCTCCTCCTCCTCCTTCCTTTCCAGGCTATCCCCCTCCCTCTCCCCCCCTCATACATCGACAGAGTATATATCCTCCACACACGAATCACGGAATCGCGATTCAGTCTTTTTTACCAGGTTGGTTGGTTGGTTGGTTGGCTGGCCCTCGGCTGTCTTCATCCGTTCGTCCGCTGCTCAATATGCTGGCAGACTCGCTTATTTAGGGCCGGCCATAAAGGAACAATGATGTCGTACTTTGTCAACGGGCGGCGGGTCCGCTTAATTGAGTCGAATCTCGGAAGGCGTTCGTGCTTTTTTGTCATCTCGCATGGCGCTTCGTATAACGCACCCTCCTCTTCTCTCTCTCTTTCTGTTCTTTCCGTGCGAACCGTTTGGAGAGAGATCGAGAGAGGGTTGCACTGCTTGCAACCTTTGGAGTGTCTTTCGTTTCTTTTTTTTTTCTTTTTCTTTTTTACGCGATACGATGGGTCGAAGAAGAAGGAGAAGAAAGGTGTCGGACGAAGTATGTCGATTTTTTTCTATTTTTTCGATTCCTTCTTTCAGCTTTGACGAGTGGTGGAGGATAAGGTTGTTTGGAATGGTTGGAGAGTAGCACTATATAGTGGATGGGCGATTGGTTTAAGGGGAACGTTGCGCGAGCATTGAATGGAACGAGCATTTGTACTGTGAATATTTATATTACGAAGGAATGAATAATTTAATTCGTGTAATTAATTTTTTTGCGAAATTTCTTGTAAATTTAACTCTTCTCGATTCATTATTCAAACGCGTTAAAATAAAGCATAACGATATATTAAATTATAAAATAAATTTAAAATAAGCTAGAAACGTGAATCGCGTGAATATTCTATCTATTCGAAAACGAGATATATTTAATTTCCAAAATTAAATAAATAAATGACGAAACAAAAATCTAGAAAATTGTTCGCAATATTCCTATCAATATCATCGATCTTCCAATCCTTTATCTATATCCATAGCCTTTCCGATTCGATTCTTCGAAATAATCACGATGGCGAGAAAGACAGGAGAGCCCACCATAGACGGGGCAGAATAGAATTGGATCCTAAGCAACGTGTAACAACATCGATTCCTCTTCGTTCGTATCGAGGAATCGTGCTCGTGTCCTCTTGGAAAAGGAATAAAAAAAAAGGGAGGGAGGGAGGGAGGGGGGGAAATCGATGGACGCGTGGGGAGAGGAGGGTCGGTGAATCGAACACGTTGTTGATTCTCCGTTTCTCCGTTCGTTTCGAGGTATATGTGGGGCACACTCGTTCCGATTTGATTGTTCATCCTGACGGGAATTCGTGCGGAGTTGGATTTCGTCGGCGAACCAATTGATTCGTAATTGTTCGACGTTTGTTCGACATCCGTTTTCATCGAATTCCTCGCGCCTTTTCTTGAAGCGATTCTTCGATCGTCGTCGATCTTTCGTACGGGCAAACAGACTGAAAATTGATATATATATATATATATATAGTTCCCGGATTGAGCAGCGCTTGGATTTCTTCTTGATTTTTATTCTCGAACGAATATGATTCAAATCTTCTAATTTCATCCACTGTAAATTGTGTCAAAATTATTAAACAAGTTCGAACTCGAACTTGTTTCTATTCCAACTATTTAAAAAAATAATATTCTCAAATTTAATTGTAAAATCGAACTCGCTCGATCGCACATCGATTCCGTAAAATTTCATCTCCAATAATATTCCATTCATGGGGCAAAAAAAAAAAGAAAGAAAACATAATTGATGAGTCTTCTTCATAAAGCAACGTCGTCTAAGAGGATCAGAATAGGAGATCGTTTCGTTTCCACGAAAATTTACCTTCTCTCTTCGTTTAAAAAAGAGTTTTTCTTCCTGATTTCGAGAGATCGAAGCTGCGCAACTAATTTAATCTCGCTTCCGGCCAGCTATCGCGTTGTATCGTTGTAAAAACAATTCCGCCTGTTCGAGAACGTAATCGTTCGATCGCAGGAATAACTTTTCGAGATATTCGAAGCGGGGAATAAATCGTCAGAAGCCGAGGTAGGAAAGTTGAGAACAAGGCGTATTCGATACTATTTCGAAAATGAAAACAAGATTTTTTTTAGAATCGAAAAATATCGTGAAAAATATTTTCGTGGTTTTTCTGATCTATCCAATTCGTCATTACTCCTATTAAAGGGGTAATAGGGGAATAGGGGTAGAATATTGTGAATCCTGTTGCTATTTTTTTCTATACAGGCAACTTTTATTTTATAATTTAAGGATTTCACGTGTCTTCGCTATTTCTTTATTTCAATAATTCTTCGTTCTGTTTTCTAGATTTCTTCTTCGCCTTCATCTTTTATCAAAAAGCAAAATTTCAATCTGAATTGACGATAGCTGAACATAAGTATTTCTTTATTCATCCGTTTTTACTTTTTCAATTTATCTCGCATGTCTCTGCCATTTTCTTCTCCTCTTTTCGCGACTATGCACGATTAATCGTTAAATTTATTTAATTAATTATGGATCAAATTACTTTCGTCATCCCTTGTGCAGCAATATCTTTCCTCGCAATTTTTAATCGAATCAATGGATGGAAAGATTTGGACGTTGGAATTTCCTGATGTGAATATATTTGTTCAATCGGCCACGGATGGATGGAGATTGATTCTGCTCTCTGTATTCGTCTTAGGGAC